CTATCTAACCTTAGAATGTTTTCATTTCACAGTGAAAACATTTAACTTTAACATAATTTTGTCTTAGAAAAAAACAACATCCTGATGATGACATCGTGCTAATGTCGAAAGCACATGGAACAAATGAATATCTATCAACATGGTAATTTTCCCTCTTCCTTTAATAAAGACACAGAGAAGCTTGTCGTGAATATCACAGGATCATACTGAAAATAAATAGATAAAACTTGTTTTAATTATTCAATGAGATTTGTCTTAACGAAAACATGCTGAAAATGTTCGTAATATATATATATATATATATATATATATATATATATATATATATATATATATATATATATATATATATATATATATATTATATATATATATATATATATAATATATATATATATCTCAAAGCATATATTTTTAAATATAACAGACAACGAATGTCTATTATGTTTGATCATGAGCCGTTCTAAGCTTCGTATAGTGGCTTTATTTTCGAGAGAAAATAAAAACGAAAACTGTTAAACATTTGGATATTTTTTATTATTCTGTTCCTCGATCTAAGCTTTCGGCTTACATGAGCCTTCAACAGAGTATATATGTCCATATAACCACTCTGAAGATGGTTTGTTGAGAATTTCATTAATGGTACCAGCATTCATACGCTGTCTTCCGACTTCAAATTCAATTCAAGAACCATCAAGAGAACGGTGAATAAGTTTAAAAAAGAGAACAGTAGAGAGGAAAACTGGATGAGGAAGTCACAACAGGAGGAGGGATCATCATTTAAAATTAGAGTTAAAGTGATCAATTCAAAAAGATCCAACTCAATCCATAAGACGTTTGGCACGTGAGAGAGAAGTTTCAGCTATGACAGTCGAAAGAGCACTGAAAGGACACTTGAAAATGAAATATATATATATATATATATATATATATATATATATATATATATATATATAGGAATTACTTAATTATGATTATTTCAAATCCTCTTAATTATTTCTATCTGCACGTCCTTGCTAGAACTGGCTTCTAATGCTCTGAATTGAGCGGCTTTAGGATAAAAGTTGTAGCTCGTGGGGGCACAGTCCTATGGGTAAAGAGAAACTCGGATGAGTTGCATCACCGGAAATGTGATCGAGCGGCGCTATATTGAGTATAATTCGTTACATCTTCGTCGGTACTGTTGGTACAGTTGGTATAGCGTTTGCCTCCTATCGTAACTGTTCGGGTTTCAATTCTCGGTAGTGGATGCGCACTGCTGGTGAGTTCCAAATATGGTACGAAACGGCCGTCCAGTGCTTTCTTCATTCTGTTGAGGTTTCTACTAGACTCGATGAATTACTTAATTATGATTAGTTCTATCTGTACATCTTTGCTTGAACCAGCTTCTAATCCTCTGGACCTAGCGGCTTGAGGATATTAGTCGTAACTCATAGAGGTACACTCCTAAAGAGAAACTAGGATGAGTTCCACCACGAAATATGTGATCGAGCGGCGCTATATCGAGTCTAATTCGTTACTTCTTCGTCAGCGAGGACCGTTGGTATAACGTTTGCCTGATAACGTAATGGTCCGGGTTTCAATTCTCGGTAGTGGTTGCACACTGCTGATGAGTCCCAAATATAGCACGAAACGGCCGTCCAGTGCTTTCTGTATTCTATTGAGGTTTCTTCTAGACTCGATGAATTACTTAATTTATATATATATATATATATATATATATATATAACTGAATTCAAATATGGGTTTGGAAATGACGGAATGCCTCCTTTTGAACTGCCCTTTTTTTTGCGAAACACTTTTTCAGATATGACCGTTGTTACGACAATAATCGAAACATTTAAACGTTTTCAGACTCCCGTGGTTTTGGGGCCTGGTCTTTGTCTCGTGTATTTAAAACCACCATGGTTGTGTACGGGGACCACAACCGCAATGAACATGGTTATAAGAATAATATATAGATATTATTAGGCTTTTTGAGTAAATGGAAGCCTGACGAAAGATGGTTCAAGAAGCAATTTTCAGGTAGGTTGGACTTTTGGCACGGAATAGTTTTGCACATGTGTTGTTTCACTGATAAAATCTAATAGTATGGGGCTTGTAGAGAGTTAGTAGATGGCTTTTTTTTGTGGAAACTGCCTACAATGAACATGCCAACATTCTTATTTAAACGTCAAATATATGAATTTAATTAAAAAGTGTATTTTAACGCGGACGTTTTCGTTCGCATCTAAATGACAACGCTTCAAAAAAACGCAACAATTATTTGGTTAGTTGGATGAAGCTACAGTGTTGTCTTTGATACTCTCCTTAAATCAAAGACAGAATTCCGTACCATTTTTTTCGATAAAATTTCCTATTTTTCACACACACACACACACACACACACACACACACACACACATATATATATATATATATATATATATATATATATATATATATATATATAAGAAGACGGAGATTTTAATTATCCATTTCGTTTATAATTTTTATTTCGTTGACATCAAAATGTCCAACTCATCAAAACGAAATTTCTTCCGCAAATGGAGAAAGGACACCGGACGAACACTTTAGATTGATAGTGGGGCGAGAGAGGGGAGAGAGAAGAGATGGGTAAAAGCAAGGGCATAAGGATTAGTGGTAAGTAATAGTCGGTACACCCAGTACAAGAATTTTGTCTATACTTCTGAGATTTTAATATATATATATATATATATATATATATATATATATATATATATATATATATGAAATGTGTGTGTATATAAATATAAATATTATCATATATATATATATATATATATATATATATATATGTGTGTATGTATATATATATATATATATATATATATATATATATATATATAATTATTTATATATTATATGCGCGGTACTTATTAGAAAGCGCTCAATATCTGAGATAGAGCTAACATATTTGGTTGGGTTGATGTGAGTTTGTGACCCTGGGTTTCACGGTTTTGCGATCGTCAGACAAACTGATTAATTTGGATTTATGTAGAGTTGCGTGTTATTATGGAAGTGTAAAGGAAATCGTCGTCGTGATGTGACTCATGGTAACACAAACATAGATGCACGCCCGTACACCATAGAGATACGCAGGCACACATACACACACGCTGGCCAACCAGAGTCCACACAAACATAAACATATGTAGACATATATATATTCATGTTTCACAGGAACGACTGAAAATTTACTGCGCTTAAGCATTTATTCAGAAAGTTACTTTTAATGAAACTTGTCCGTCGTTTTTGAAGAAACTTGGATAAAAGAGCGATAACTACCTAAATATATACATATATATTTATTAAATACATTTTTATGTTTAACGTTCTTTTTTATAGATACAAGTATATAAGTAAATGCTCTGTTTATAATAAACAGTATTAAATAACATGAATGTCGAGAAATTTTCATAGAAAATATTCGTCCTTTGATGATTCGAACCTGCATTCTATACGGAAGCGTCATTTACGCTGACGTGCCTTAGCCTTTCGACTCGGCCACAAAGGGGCGTTCGGTAGGCAAGGTCGAATTTACTTCTTATAAGCCTACCGAACGCTCCTTTGTGGCCGAGTTGGTTAAGGCACGTCAGCGTAAATGACGGTTCCGTATAGGATGCAGGTTCGAATCCTGTCAAAGGACGAATATTTTCTATGAAAATTTCTCGGACATTCAGGCCGGTAAATGTTATTTAGTATTATTATAAAATATAACCAAATATGTTAAATACTTGTATCTATAAAAAAAGAACGTTAAACATAAAAATGTCTTTAATAAATAAATTGTCGGACTTTGTCCATTTCTTAATATATATATATATATATATATGTGTGTGTGTGTGTGTGTGTGTGTGTGTGTGTTTCTTGAACAATAAAAATGTTAAAAATTTCAGACTCACTGAGTTGTATATGAATATATTTGTTTTATTTTTTAAAAATTAAATTCCTCGACTGGTTTTGGCCGGTATGCCCATCATCAGCCAAAAAAAAAACATCCCTGCTTTTTCACAGGGGGTTAATGAATATCTGGGAAGAAGATGAACTTATACGTGCATATGTATAGATTGTTATATTCTATTTGATATGGATAACTATATATATATATATATATATATATATATATATATATATATATATATATATATAATCACGTATATACATTATATAAAATTTATATATAGATGTAATCAGGTATATGCATTATAAACTTAGATATACATACATATATATCTATCAGGAAATATATATATATACGTGTGTGTCTGTGTGTCAAAGTGTATGCTTGTTGGTGTGTGTGTATGTCAGCGCACGCGTGTGTGTGTGCGTGTAGGCACTTGTGTGTGTATGCATATTGGCTTTCGGCATTTTCAGAGATGATCAGGGAAATCTCAATCATAGAATTGTATTCTAAAAAAGCGGTCCCGTTTTAAGAGAAAACGACGCGAAGAACCTGAAGACAAAAGGGCGGGAAATGCTTAGCGCAGGGGAGGGAAATAAGCGAGCTCAACGAACGAGGGAAACAATAAGAACAAAAAAAAATGCCTAATTAGTGTAAAGACGAACAAATGATTTGCCTAATGAATGGTTGGCATGGCAACAGTCTTGTTATCATATAGCCGCGTCGTATATCTATCTCAAAGCCACTGGTAATATCCAAGTATTTGCCTATATATATATATATATATATATATGGAAACGATTATAAAGATAGAAAATAAAATAAGTATATACATACATACATACATACATACATACATATATATATATATATATATATATATATATATATATATATATATATATGTGTGTGTGTGTGTGTGTGTGTGTGTGCTGTCGGGAGTTTAGTGAGAGGGAAGTGTATTTCTGTGCGTGTTTGGTGAGGGTTATATTATGTGTGTCCGGGGTGATTGCGTGATGAAATTTGCAAAATCCATGTTATTTCCACAAGAACTTCATTTTCTGCAGAAGGTAAA